TAAGCGTATACAACAAAACACAAGAACGATTTCTCATAATTTGAGTAAATTTAGTTTACAAATTGCTTTAATTAATTTCACTGTTCCAACAGTTTCTACCTCTAATTAACAAAATATTATATATAAAGAAATCTCAAACGAGTATACGATTTGACTTTGCGAGATTATAAAATGTTCGGTTACATCCGATCTTAGTTCTTCCCTACTTGTTTTTATTTTTTTATTTCTAAGCCAGGGACGCTTAACTAGGAATCTGTACTGTTCCGGCCAAACCGGGACGAATGGTCAGCAAAGGTTAACAAGAAAGTAACGTATGAAATGATGGAAAACATTTTTCGGTTGATCAATTATGTCGCGCATTAATGGAAAGTCATCGCTGACTTAAAAGTTTTGACAATTTTATTTGGCATGCAAGGTGGCTACACAAAATATCCTTGGTATCTTTGTGAATGGGATAGTCGGGCATCCAAACACTATGATGCAAAGTATGGCCATCTCGAGAGTCACATCAGATAGGCAATAAAAACCTTCTAAGTATAAGGGTGTTATCTTACCACCACTACACTTAAAGCTGGGATATATGGAACAGTTTGTAAAGAAATTGGGTGTTAATAGTGAAGCTTTTCTTAATATTAAAACTGTCTTCCCAAATTTAAGTGAAGCTAAAATAAAAGTTGGTATTTATTAATTTATTTTCATACCTAGTTCCTTTTTATTGTTTTTATACTCTCGCAACCCGTTGCTACAGAGTATAATAGTTTTGTTCACCTAACGGTTGTTTGTATCACCTAAAACTAATCGAATTAGATATAGGGTTATATATATATATAAATGATAAGGATGAAGAGACGAGTTGAAATCCGGGTGACTGTCTGTCCGTCCGTCCGTCTGTCCGTCCGTCCGTGCAAGCTCCAACTTGAGTAAAAATTGAGATATCTTTATGAAACTTGGTAGACATGTTTCTTGGTACCGTGAGACGGTTGGTATTGCAGATGGGCGTAATCGGACCACTGCCACGCCCACAAAACGCCATTAATCAAAAACAAATAAATTGCCACAACTAAGCTCCGCAATAAGATATAAGACTGTTATTTGGTACACAGGATCACATTAGGGAGGGGCATCTGCAGTTAAATTTTTTTTTTAAAAGTGGGCGTGGTCCCGATTATGTAATGATATAATAACAAAATTCACTGGAAACATTTTTTTAGCACTTCTATTGACGGTGTGAAAATAGTTGAAATCGGGTGGCAACTCCGCCCACTCCCCATATAACGGTACTGTTAAAAACTACTAAAAGCGGAATGGTATGAGATGACTTTATAGGAACCGCGTTCAAAATTAGACAGTGGGCGTGGTATAGCCCAGTTTTAGGTGAAACCCCATATCTTGAGATCTGCTTAACCAATTTCAACAAAATTCGGTAAATAACGTTATTTTCATATTTCTATGTTATAGTGCGAAAATGGGCGATATCGGACTACAACCACGCCTATTTCCCATATAACACCATTTTCAATTCCATTTGATTCTTTCACTTTCCACTATGCATATCAAGCACAATGATTATATCGGGGTAAAACTTTGCGTGAATAATACGTTTAAAGTATGCCACCTTGTGACCAAAAATTGTCTAAATCGAAGCAAAACTGTTCAAGCCCCTAAGTACTAAATATGTGGACCTCAGTGCCTATAGTTGACCTTATACCAAAAATATCAGCTAATCCACAAAGAAATCTCAAACGAGTATACCATTTGACTTTGCGAGAGTATAAAATGTTCGGTTACATCCGAACTTAGCCCTTCCTTACTTGTTATAATATACATATGTATAAAGGTAACATATTTTCATTGAACCTCAAAATTATGAGCGACGTTAACTTTATGCACAAGTTAAGCTGTGTTGAGAAACGTGCATGAAAGAGTTTTGTAGCGCTATGTGATAATTTCCTTGGGAATAACTGAAGTAACGACTATATCACGGTCATAAACGAATTTTTAAGAGCGTATGGTGAAATGGGTTGCAACATGTCGATAAAAATTCATTTCTTGCAATCGCATTCGGACTTTTTCCCACATAGTCTGGGCAGTTCAGTGATGAACAAGGCGAACACTTCCACCAAGAAATGGTTAAGATCGAAAAACGTTTCGAAGAAAAAAAAAAGAAATATGATGGCAGAATATTGTTGCTCAGTACAACGTGAAACTGACCATGCTGACCTAAAGAGAAAATAATCAAAAAAGCTTTTGAACGTTGGTCGGTAATAAACGTACTCTTTGAATCAAATCAGAACTCATTTAGTTTTCTTATAAAATAGTGTGAAAATATCGTCAAAGCCAAAAAAGAAGAAAAAGGGTAACAATATTTAAGTGTGTTGTGCAAAATCAAATAATCTCTTAAGCTTTATTAAGACATCTATATATCATTCGAAAGGTCTGAGTTTTTTTTTACTTAAGCCGTTCTTAAATTTAAAATCGGTTGATAATTAGCTAAGATATGGGCTCATAGTGCGCAAAGGTACGAAAAATAAGTTTTTTAAGCTTAAGTCGAGATTATGGGGGAGTTTGGCAAATTCCAAAATTAGATTCTCGTTTTACTCAACAAGACCTACAAGAAAAATAACATCACTTCCCAGCTATTTCCACTTCGTTCTTTTTTGTACCACTGTGTTAATATTCAGGGCAGCGGTATATTCTTTGAAGATATTTTTCAGATCGAATTCAACCGTTAGTTGAATAAAACTATATATATTTATTCCTTCAAAACTAAAAACGAATTGCTTATCTAATGGAAACAATGCATTTCTGTAGATCTAGTTATACAGAAACCTGTAGATCTAGTTATACAGAAACTAATCAATTGTCTCGAATGTGTATGCATATTAAATTAAGTTAAGTCTCTTAAGTATGCTGAAACAGTATTAAGATTCCCTTAGAATGCCAAGGATCGGTTGCAACTTACATATTTACATTTCTGCATTTTCATCTCTGATGGAAAGTTTTATGGTATTTGGCTTAATTTAAATTATATTTTAATAAATAAATGCGATAACTATATGGAAATTAGCTAAATTTAACGCCTGTTGATCCTTTTTATCCTTTGTTACCGATAATAATTTATATGGCGTGTAGAAGAATGACTTAACGGCCTCATCTTGCACTTTGACCCCATCATATCTGTGTTTGCGAAACTTGTACAGTCTATTAGTGGAATGAGCAACGAGCTGAAACCGCATTCAAAACACAAAGCAGTAAGCTGTGATGTGTTGTTCATACTATTCGATCGTCGGTGTTATTCACAGCTGCGAATCATGTCAAACGAAGGCAATCTAAATACACACACACATATCTATATGAAAATATATATGTTCGTACATGGTAAGTACAAGGTACATATAGATATGTACGGAAGTAGTACGTACCTTTTGGTATGTGTGAAAGTAATGCAAAAACCAGAAATGAAAAAAGCAAACGAAAACACAGCACTTAATGGAGAAAAGCAGCAGAAAAGCGAACAAACGTATCGCTGTTGTGGTGCTTTGTTCGCATTTTCGCTCGTTGCTACATCGTCGGCACCACGACGAGCCTCGTGTTTTATTTTGCAGCTATTATTTTTTATAATTTTTTGGTGATCTGATCAGTAAAGTGAACAGAGTCAACAACACATCGGCCGTCGTGGCAGACGAGCAGCACAACAAAGCTGCCAACAAAGCTAACAATTCGAATCATGGTATTTCGTTTGACAACCGCAAATACATGCGCACGAACAAACACACTTGCATCATGGTGTGTAAATACTTAGAAGTTTACATAACGGCAGAGGCATCTTTGTGCCCAACTTCCCACATACTCGTTTAAATATTATATTCATATGTACATCGTATGCCTAGTTTAAATTTACATATCTACATATTTGTATTTCAAGCCCAACAAATAATATTTTAGCAGCTCAATATTGATGAAATGCTTGAAACAACATTTTTTTAAAGTTTTTCAGAGCAAATAGCGCAACTTTTACAGTTTACTTTCAAAGCGTTGATAACTTTTTTGCTTCTAATAAAGGCTATGAGGTTACGACATGCAACGTCATGAAAGGAAAAATAAAAAGTGGCAACGTACTGCAGCTGTCAAATTGGTTTGTAAATTGTTAATAAAAACGCAAACACTTTTGCAAATCCGTGCATTAAATTATATTTACTACTTTAGGATGAAAAAAAATTGGTAAAACGAGAAAATTGTATCGAAAAAATATTTGCTTCATATTTTAATAGAAACTTTTATCTCATTATCTATTGTCGACATACTTGCCAGTTAAACGCATGATAAAACGATGTGATCTGATAACGATAACAATCAGCAATAAATTTTTTTATTGCAATATGGTTAAAAAATTTTCTAATTAGGATTAAAAATTAATAATTTTGGATTAAAACTTGATTCCTTAATTCCAGTTTTGGGATTAAAAATTAGAAAATGAAATTTTTGGGATCGGACCACTATAGCATATAGCTGCGATACTAACTGACCTATCAAAATCAAGATAAAGATATTTTTATACCCCTTTATCCTATAAGAAATGCAACTCTGAGGGGTGTTATAGCTTCAATGCAGCCGAAGTTAGCGTTCATTTTTTGAACAAGTCAACAACAACAAGTTTTCACAGAAAACAAACTCAGGTAGCCGGAAATAATGACATTAAAATATATACTTTTTATAAACATCAATAATTGGTATTTTCACATCAATACATACAACTGAAAATATGAATAATAGTTCTGCTACTTTGGCATTAGTTTTTAATAAACATTTTTTTTTTGCGTTCTTATTTAGATATTTTTATATACAGTGAACCAAAAAAACCATCTTGTACAGAGCGATGGTTTGACTTTAAAGTGACTTCTCTCCAAGTTGTTCAAACCTGTGAGTTGCATCCAAAAGTGAGAAAAAGACCGTTTAATTAATTTTCATAATGTAATTGAAATTTATTTTAAAAAGTTCAGTTGTCACGAAAAAATTTGAAAAATCCAAAATAACTCCATTATCGAAAACCAAAAACAAAACTTGTACAGTCTGCACAAATTGAGATTTTAACACTCTTTAAGGAAAATTAAACTTTGTATGTGCACATTTGCTCTCAATCATGGTTTACAGTCTTTTATTCATATAATACATCCAATTTTAGGGAGGCTTGACCCCATTTTTGCTATTAACTTTACGTTTTCCATATAGGCTTAACGCTGTTCAATGGGATTGAGGTCTGAACTATGGAGAGACTTTTTTCACGTTGTACAGTAACCACTCCTGAACCACTACATCGGAATGATTTGGGCCGTTATCCTGAATAAGGCAGTATCCACTATTTAAATTGAGTTTAGCTGACGGAGTTAAATTATTTTTTAATATTGCCTAGCAGTCTTTTCTTTACATACTAATTCGCCATTTGCTTCCACTGCACCATTTTGGCTTCCATTGCACCAGACACCACACAATGCAGTCTCCTCCATGCTGAGAGTTTTATTTATATTATTATATTTTGATCTTTCAGCGCTTAGCCCTCCTTACGCCATACAAATCTACGATCTTTAGATCCAAATAAATTAACTTTGAACTCATCGGTAAAAATTACAGAATCACAATTATTGGTTTCACGGTGAAATATAGTAAACGTTTCGCAATATTTCTCTTGTTGTTTTTGTTGTTGTAGCGGAAGAATTCTATCGAGTGATAGTCCTTGGCTGGATAAAATCCAGGTCCGTTCCGGTAATGTCGGCCTTGTTGTGGGATGGGCAATATTTCTCTTCCATAGTTGTGACTTGTTTCGTCGTGTATATGCCCTAGAATCGGGTGGAAGCAAGAAGCTTCGAACAGTTTGAGGGTGGAGTTTTGCCGTGCCAGCATCCCCCAACTCCATGGCGTTAGTGAAAGCGGATATTTTGAGGTGTTCCTTGATACTCCGATTAACTTTACTTTCAGCCTGGAGTGCGAAACTTTTTTTTAGCCTTCCACTAAGTCTTCCAACTCCACCAGTCTTTTTGAATTTAGAAATAATGTACTGAACAATAGTATGTGCTTTTTTTTAGTATTACCTATTTCGCGAGTCCTTTTGTTCTCTTGCAAATATTTGATTACAAGAGGCAGTAAATCTTAAGATGTTTGTTTATTCACCATTTTTTCTTCAAAAACTGCAAAAAAAAAATCACTAACCAAATAAGACATTTTGATCATAAGCAAGTAATACTAGATAAAAATAACGGCAGCTAGTTAATAACTGCATTTAAATTGTTGTCAAATTAAGTGTATAAGCTTTTTTTAATGCTTAAACATGAGATTTTAATTTTTTGTAATCGTTAACAACAAAATTGATTTATTGTTAAAACTTTTATAAAAATACGAAAAGTACATTGGATTTTCAAATAAGATAGCTTAGGAGCAAAATCTCAGTCAAAATAATAGTAGTGCCAGGTTTAAGCTGATAAAACACAAATATAAAATATCAACTTGCTAAACATTTCAGAATTGTGTTTTTTTGACCTACTCGTATTTCGTTATCGTTTTGAATCTGACATCCAAAAAGATAACTCAAAGAAATTGAAAATTTGGCGGGTTGTTCACTAACGATGATAAAATAATATGCTAGTAAAATATAAAATATTTTATAGACAGATGCATCTAAAACTTTGCTGCAATCCTGCCAATGCGTACGAAGACCAATTCCGGGTACAACCCAAAATACACGACAACAGTAAAACATGGAATACATTATTATAATTTGGTCATGTTTCCCTTTTAAGTAGTCGGACTAATACACTGGATTAAAGAAACTATGGATCGTACTATGTATGTTCGAATTAAAAGGAATTTTTTAGTTGCTCTATACCCTCAATGAAATGCCACCACCTGGGGTCTTTCAACACGATTACCCAGAACAAGTTGGATTTCAGAAAATCGTCAGTTGCTAATGCTTATCTGATAAATAGCAATTATCTTTGGGAAGCTCCTGAGAGCCCATGGAAATCAATTCTTAATGAATGATGTTAAAATCGCATTAATCGTCGATGCAATGTGCCGCAGTTATAGCGAACAAAGAGCCCGATACTCAGTATTAATTTTGTCACTTATACTTAAGTACAATTTTGCCATTAAATTCTTTAACATCGATAATTATTTCAACAAACCGTACTCTGCTGAATTATACTACTATATTTTTGACCGCCTATATATACATATCCTTTCGAAAATAAATTTTAATAACATAATAACGAATCATTCTCCTTAGGGTTGTTTATGAATTACTTGTAAATAAAATACAAAAAATTAAAAAAAAATGTTCTGGAATTTTAAACTATTTCAAGCTTGCGTATTTCGTCTTCTACTCTTTGTAAAAAAAAAGTATATTTATTTTAATTTCTACTCTTGCAATTTTGCCGAAAAAAAATTGATTTCTTAGGAGATTTTACCGTTGCTTTGAACAATAATCAATGTAAAATTTCGAAAAGATATCTCGTCAAATAAAAAAGTTTTCCATGCAAGGATATGATTTTGATCGTTCAGTTTGTATGGCAGCTATACGCAGTGGTCCGGTATTGGTTCCGACAAACGAGCAGCTTCCTGGGGAGGAATGGACGTACATATGTATGTATGCATGTATGTAGAATTTTATAACGATATCTTAAAAACTGTGGGAGGAGGAGAAAAACTAGTTCGCTTATATGTATACAGACAGACTAGGCTAAATCGACTCTGCTCATCATGTTGAGCATTTATACCTTTATGTATGTATGTACTTTATAGGGTTTCCAACGTTTCTTTCTGGGTGTTACAAACTTCGTGACAACTTTATATACACTGGTACAAAAACGTAAAGAAGTTGCAGTAATCTTTAATTCTCTTCATTCTTGGTACTAATAAAGCTATATTTGTGTGGATAATTACGTAAAACATATATTTGTATAACATGCATATACAATAATTTTTAATAATAGACTATAAAATAATAATATATTTATTATACTGTAAAATAATAATATAGTAATAATAATATAAAATCATAAATAAAATATAATTTCATCATTAAAAGCGTCTTTCGCTCATAAATATGCCCTAGAAATAAGTACATACATATAGATTTGAGTAGCTATTTATGTAAGCAAGTGCTTGTGCACTTACCTGTGTTGCTGCTGCTGACTACTCGCCGTCGCCTGCATGTTGCATTCAATCGTTATATTCGTCGCTTTTGCCGTTTCTCTATCTGCTTGTGTTTCAACTTTACATTCTCCTCTTTTATCGCTTTCGTAAAATGCAGCTGCGTTCTTCTCTAGAAAACAACAGTTGTGCACAATTAGGAATTTTTCATTGCACAACTACATGCACACATATACACATAAATCCATTCATACATCCGTTTATGGTTGTATGCAGGCCAGTCGTTTGAAGGTTAATTCACTGCATACGTACTTACTACAAATATTATGTAGGCGAAGGCTCCGTCTTCGACTATCGCTACGGTCACAACGCTGGCACCTCCAACTGCTTCTCTGTTATCCTTTGTAGTTCAGCAAGTTATCTTGTTACTTGTTGCCACTTCCCTTCTTTGGTGTCGATTCTACAATATGCTTGTTGCTTTCGCTAGCTAGTTGTTGTTGCTGTGATTATCGAGCACTTGTATTACGTGGTTGTAGTTTTGTTGTTGTTATGTTGACATATGTGACAGCGTTTACGTGCTCTTCTGTTCTCAGTCGATTGACGCGATACTACTATGTCTCGTTTATCTGACGTACAAGCGAAGCGAACACTTCGTGGCTGCGTGGCCTCGCCATGTTCGTGTGCATTGGGTTCAACCCGAATGTACAGTTCGTTTATTTATTTCGTCTGCTACTTACTCTATATTATAATATATGTATTTTTTTATAATTATCGCTGAGTCGCTTTGTTGCGGTGCTTGCTGTGTTTTGTGAGGTGACGGTGGCTGGCTGGCTGGATGGTTGTTGGCAGGCGGCGCACAGGGTGAGAAGTTCAAGAGAAACCTTGAAAATGTTTATTCGCTTTGGCAGTTCATTGTTTTTTCCTACTGCTTACAAATAATTTCACTATTTTAATTTCGACTAGTTTCAATATGGCGTTTGTGTTCGCTTGCCTCCAATTATTGTATGTGTGTATATACATAAGTACATAAGTATGTATTGTTGGCGTTTAAAATATTGTGCTCATCCAATTAGGTATTACGAATACGCTTACGCATTCACAAATACTGCGCTTCTAAAAACTTCTTAAATAAATTTGCATAAACATTTCCACAAACAAAAGGTATCTATTTAAATGTCTAAATGTGTACGTAAAAATTATAAACAAAACTTAAATACTTACTTTATATATTTTTGAACGTTCGAGAAATAATTTCCAGTACAAAAGAAAGGTTCTCTCAACCAATTTAAAGGCTAAATTAAAGCTAGTTGAGCGGAGACAAATTGTTGATTTTTTGTACTGTTGCTTTAAATAAACAGCTTTTAGTGATGCACTAAATAGCAACGAGCTTATTTTTTGTAATAGCAATATGATACATCTACTATATGGGCTGTAAATTATTTGGCTTAATAATGAGAAGGGTTTTTTGTTTAATAATAATATCACTTTAGACTTCAACTTAACTTCCTGTAAAGAATAAAAAAAAAATTTAGAATATTCTGTTCCTTTAAGATTCTGAAAATATATATGTCATCTGAACCAACATTTGAGTGAAATCTGGAAAATGAGAAATATTCGCTATGGTCCAACATAGGCAAAATCAGTAGATGGGATACTAGCGTATGTTCTTCAATTTATCGGTCGTATCCAACGTTCATAGGTTACGAAGGTTAGGACAACAGTTGACGTCATAGAACCAAAACCGTCATATTTATATTGGGACGAATTTGAAAAAAATTGTTTAACGATGTTACTGTTTTTCTTTTATTTACTTGGTTTTGTTTAAATTAAAATACATACGTGATCTGAAGGCCGACTTTTTCCCTTATGATTCCAAATTAAATTACATATTTTCGACTTAAAAACATTAACTCTTACTACTTCATTGCAGGAAATAGTATTCTAGCAGAGTGATTACAATGCAAAGCATATGAATTGGGGCTCACGTCAAATTAATCCAAAAGGATGACAGCTGTATTACACTAGATATTGTGAATAACATTGATATAATATCTCCTGATAAGTCAACTTACTAGTCCAGTGATCGTAACAAATTGATCATACTCCTTTTCTTTTTTTCTCCCAAGCCTTTCCAGTAAATCGCTGCCGTTGAAGAGGAAATTTGATTTGCAAATCGTTTTCAGCTTAACTGCCCAAAAAAAGAATTTAAGCTGCCCGACACAGCTAACAAGTCGCTCTTCACTATTAAGACTTCAAGTTGAGAAATTAAAAGGATCATAAAAGAGATGAATCCAAAAAAGACACCAGGACATAATAAAATTACTGGAAAAATGCGAATAGAGCTGCCAAATATTGCTTTAGTAGTGCTCTCCTTTCTTTTTAATGCAATTTTCAATTTTGAATATTATCCGCATTCATGGAAAAAGTCGCAGATCATCGTGATGGATAAAATATAAGCTTCTTACTCTGCCTTTCCAAAATATTTGAAAAAGTATTACTATCAAAAATGTATCCTTACCTCCATGAAAATAATATACATATGTGACGCACCAATTCGGGTGGAAAACATAGCACTGAAGAGAAAATAAATAAAATAACTTACGCAATCAGAAAGGCATTGAAGCACAGAAAGTACTGTTCAGCAACATTCCTTGATATGGCCTAGGCATTCGATGTGGCACGAAGGTCTCTTATATAAAATTGAAACAATATTCCCTTTAGAATTGTATAAAACATTTAGGTCTCATTAAAAACAGGATATTTCCTGCTAAATTAATATCAGATGAAGGACTTATATACAGCAGATATAGTCCTAGTATACTGTAATAAATGCCCCAACAGAGCGTCAAAAGTACTAGAGGAGCACTTAGTATGCCTTTATTAACTTATCTTGGCAATCACTTAGTTAGAAGGCTCTCATGGAGAAAACATATATCAAGCAAAATAGCTAGCATGAAAATAAGAGCAGCAAATTTTACTGGCTTTTAAACAAGAATCCTAACTTAGCCTTGACACAAAATTTTACTATACAAAGCAGTAATACAACCAATTTGAATGAATGGTATTCAACTGTGGGGTACGACATGTGCAACCAGTATTAACATAATAACAGGTTTATCATGGCACATTCGAAATTATTCACAAAGATCTTGGTTTCTCTATGCTAAAGAAAGAAGTAGAGGACAGCAGAATCAAATACGAACTTAATCTCCGGCAACATCCGGATATATTAGTTATTGCCTTGCTACAATTCTCCCGCTTGAAAGAGATTTGATAGAGGAGATTCTCCAGATTAAAATTATTAAGATATATTCACCCGAAACTTATATTTTTCGAGATTTCTTATTTTAAGTTGAAAATTTGACAAAATTTTATCTTGCAATTTCTCGATTTATAGTTAATTTTTCTTATATATTATGCATTTATTATTATTCACTAACACTTCTTTAAATTGTTTCTACATAATTATTTAATACAGTTATTTTAATATTTGCTTTAAATTGACAATTAATAAATGTTGTCATACCCAAACGAATGAAAATAATCAAAATAAATACAAAACTTAAATACAGGAAACAAATATCCTCTACAAAGTATTATAAAATAAATTGTCCATATTAATAGAAGCAAAAGTTTTAAGGCTTATAAGCATGTTTTATTGCATCTAACAATTTCACAAATGGATCTGACAAATGATACCGATTTGCAATATTTTTTTATACTCTAGCAACATGTTGCTACAGAATATAATAGTTTTGTTCAGCTAACGGTTGTTTGTATCACCTAAAACTAATCGAGTTACATTATACTATATATAAATGATCAGGATGAAAAGACTAGTTGAAATCAGGGGGACTGTCTGTCGGCCCGTCCGTTCGTCTGTGCAAACTGTAACTTAAGTAAAAATTGAGATATCTTTATGAAACTTAGTAAACATATTTCCTGTGCCGGAAGACGGTTGGTATGGCAGATAGGCGTAATCGGACAACTACCACGCCCACACAACGCCATTAATCAAAAACAAATAAATTGCCATAACTAAGCTCCACAATAAGATACAAGATGATTATTTGGTATACAGGATCACATTAGGGAGGTGCATCTGCAGTTTAATTTTTTTAAAGTGGGCGTGGTCCCGCCCCCAAATAGGTTTAATGTGCATATCTCCTAAGCCGCTAAAGCTAGAAAAACAAAATTCACTGAGAACGAAAGTTTTTAGTACCTCTATCGACGATGTGAAGATGGGTGAAATCGGGTGATAGCCCCGCCCACTCCCCATATAACGGTACTGGTAAAAATTACTAAAAGCGCTATAAATCAAGCACTAAGCTCGCCAGAGACATTAAGTTTTATCTTTTATAACGATGGTATGAGATCACTTTATAGGAACCGCGTTCTAAATTAGACAGTGGGCGTGCCACCGCCCACTTTTAGGTGAAAACCCATATATATAAGCCTATAGTTGACTTTTTACTTCCCATATCCCTCATATACCTAATATAAAGATTTTTGAACTTCCGCGTGACTTTATAACGCGTATATCGGCCAATATGTGAGTTATCTCAATGAAAATGAGAGAGCGTGTAACTAATATCAGGATTTTCGAACATGACTTTAATCCATTTGATTGGTGACGGTAGGTGAAGTACCTTAATGAAACAGTGGGAGCATTTTATTAGTCTGTGGCATGTTAGTAGTATGTGGCATTGACAAGAATTGATAAAATCGGGTTAATACTAACCTTGTTGTTGTTCCATATCCTACTTATAATGCTTTTCGTTATTCTAACTAGTTTTATACCAAATATGTCGGTCAGAGAGTATTCATAGTTTTTTTCTCAAACGAGTATACCATTTGACTTTGCGAGAGTATAAAATGTTCGGTTACATTCGAACTTAGCCCTTCCTTACTTGTGTCCATATATATTCATAAATTAAATAAAAAATCGTAACTATTGTCGTTACTAAAAAAACGTTAATTAACGTGACACTGGGATTCTATACATTGCGTATGGGTTCCGTCCTCTACAACAAACGGATTATCTGGGTCGCTATGATTTTCGCATCGGTGCTCATACCCGTGACTGGACAGGCAGTCGTAGGCCTTCCTGCAATCAGAACATATCATGGTACCTTATGTCACGTGTCTCTGTATCAAGGGTATGAGCACCTCAGCAGACTTCAGCTGAAGGTCGTTTCCATCCCTAGGACCCAGTGTCCTTCCACTCTCTGCCCTAAAATGTGAAAATAAAAATAAATGTATATATTACTACCTTTCTTGTATTTACGTTTCCCGAATTTACTTTTGGTTCCAGTGGTATTTTGATGTTCTCAAACCATGTACTGTTTGACCTCAATATTGCAGTTCGTGTACGGCAGGCACCTTTCCGGCATTGTAAGAATGCCCCCACACCAGGGCTGATTGACGGGTCGTTAAATCTATTCAAAAGTCTTAAGTAATAGTATTTTTAACAATTTTAAATTTATAATAACATATCCGATGAATTTGCACTCATTTTTTCAAAAATAACCACGATATGAAGAAGCACGGAAAAATATGAAAAATTGCGGAATCACTTTTATGTAAAATATTAAACAATTTATTTTGAATTGGCAAATATGAAAATAATGACAACAAAAAAAAGAAACGGTACCTTAGT